ATATGATTCACAGTGGGACGCTCCCCCACGCCAAACAGCCTTTGATCCCCAGTTCAACCATTGAGCAAGGTTGATTTGATTCCTCCCACTTGTTCCCAATGTAGTTTTTCATTTACCCTCTTGTTCACCATGTATATCTTTATTCCCCACCTTGTTCCTGATGTGGATCTCCATTCACCTTTTCTTCCCTGGTGGGGGAAACACCATTTTGTGGTTTGCCTCAGGTGTCAAAATGTCTTGGGGCAGCCCTGCTCATGCTAGTATTGGGTGATATACGCAATTCCAGTTTCTTTCTTTCTTTCTTTCTTTTGTATGTTAAGATTTTTATTTTAAAAAAATAATACTACAGTAAGATACAGAAAACTAATGTAAATTTTAAAAACAGCTATAGAATTCCAGAATTTTTTGTTTGTTTTTGTTTTAATAACTTTTTATTATTATTAAAGATTTTCGCCATACAATAAGGTAACAGCTACAAAAACTACAAGCAGATCAAGTAGAATACAGAGTCCTCTTCTGGAGGCAATTTTCAGCCCCCACCACATGCAGAAGGTAGCAGCCCCTCCCTGCATCTCACCCTAGGAGACCAACACTTCCTGTCTCCCACTCAGGGCCCTCCATCCACTATTCTCATGAATACTTAATCCATGGACCTTAATCCATGGACGTTAACAAACACAGGGCTCAAAAAAACAAAACAAAAAGGAGAGAGAGAGAGAGAGAGAGAGAGAGAACAAAAAAAGAAAAGAAGAAGATATGCAAAAAGACAAGAGGAAAAGAAACATTAGAGATAGATAACAAAAGACTTCCAGTTTTCCATCTGCAGTTACGTAAAAAAAAAAGATTATTTAAGACATTCAGTCCATGTTAATAGCTACCTTCTCCACTTTCTGTTAAACAACATTTCTTTTGAGTCAGTGTCTCAGAATCATTAATTTCTCTTTCCCCACAAAAAGTCCAAGAGGGATTCCCAAATTGTTATTATTATTGGTAATTAACTTTGCCTTCATTAATTCCCACCGCCATTCATCCATACTGGGTAATAATAAATTCTTTCATTCATGTTAAAATCTCTCCACTGTGATCTCATATTGAGGGGGGGGGTCATTTTTTTCATTATATGAGCTCACTTCTATATGCTCAAAGTCCACTTCCTTTTGTTTTTCATTTTCTGTTGTGTTTACGATAGTACCCTGATCTCCTCCTCTAGGACCTCCCACTTTTGTTTTTTCCCAGTCTTTTTCCAGAGATAGTTTCATGAATTTAATAGCATTGTTCTCTGAATTCACTCCAAATCATATGCAGAATGCGACATTTGAAGTTTTTCCAAAGTTTCCCCCCCTCTCATTTCCATCATCTCTTTCTCTGCATCTATGATTCCATCCTCTCCTTCTCCTCTAAACTCTTGAATGGAAGGCACTTCCATTTCACCATCTGCTTTCTCCCATTTTACTGTTCCCCATCCAATTCTGCCAGTTTTTCATCAATTTGGTCTCAAGTCTCTAGATAGTCTCCATCTCCATTTTCCATTTCATCTCTCTCTGATTTATCAAATGTTGATCTGATCACTTTTCATTGTTCAGCCTTCAACTGCTGAACAATCCCAATAATCACCGAAAGATTCAAAATACCTTTGCCATACTGAGAGTTTCTGTTGTTCCACTTTAAGAATACAGTCACAGTCAAAGTAAGATTTTTTTTCCAACAGAAAGTAATTCATTCATTCAGCCTTTATTGGCATAAAAGAGAGTAATTTACTTTCAGTTTATCAGCGCCATTTTTTAAAAAAGAATAAGAAGAAATAGATATTTTTCACGCAAGGGGTCACCTCACCTATTTAATCTTTATTGCCAACCCTAAATCCAGTTCTCTGCTCTTGCTTAGACACTTTAACAACCTATTTTCCTTTATTATTCTTAGTGACAAAAGGTAGTTTTTGCAGGATTTCCAATTATAGATTTTCACCAGCAGACAGATAAATCTCTCCAAGACAGTTTTTTCTTGTAGTGCTTGGGCACCATGTCAGGTCGTCTGCTCGCCAGCTCATTCCAACCCCTTCTGAAGCTCCTAGGTGCAGACAGCAGAGAACAGCAAGATTTCCGATTGTGAAATTTCATTTCTCTCTACGTCACATAGTTATCTTGTCTCAAAAGTGTTTAAGAAAGAGAGGGTGCAAATCAAAGGGATCTTATGTGGCGTTTGGATGCAATGTCAGTCCCTCGGCTCGCCAACTCATTTTAGGCCCCCTCTAATCCCCCCAGGTGCCAACAGCAGAAAACGGCTTTGATCAGAGCATTTGAGGTTACTCACTCGATCACTCTTTATCACAGAGTGATTTGATAGTCAGAACTTCAGCCTGATTACCATCGATCACCACGTAATTATCTTCTGTCAGTGGAGAGCCGATAGAAAGACAGCCAATCCGCCATTTCCTCCCCCGGAAGTCTCCACAATCCAATACTGTTTGCACCTGCAAAAGTTTCAGGCTGTACATTGGTGCATGTCCCACAGCTTCCTGCTGAAATCCTGTAACTTTTAACTATAGGTTAAAAATATTTACAAACATTTGCATGTAAATATATATTAGGTGGCATTCAGCTAAGCTTAACTCAGAATAGGCCTACTGAAATTAATGGATCTAACATAGTCATATTCGTTAATTTTGATGGTTCTATCCCCAAGTAAAATTTAGTTGAATGTCACCCTTTAAGCGTCAGACTGAAGAACACAAATGTGGCTTGATAAGTGTATTCCTTTACTGGGGAAGATGATTGATTCCATCCTCTTAGCTTGTTGCAAAATTGTATCCTCTGAACAGTTTCCCTAGGTGTTCGTTTCTCCCAATACAAGCCTCAACATGGCAAATTAGAGCAAATCCTCCCAGCGCGTGCCACTGAGCAATTTGGAGACAAGGCTCTATGTGCGATATCCTTCTTTTGAAAAGGACACAGTCACTAGTTATGCTTCAAGGAGCAGCCTTAAAATCTGAGAAACATAGAAAATCCATTTAGCACATGACATTATCGAAAGAAACATCAATAGCTTTGCTTCAGGTGGCAACCCTTTAAAAAAAGTTGTGAGGAAGTCTGCATTGATCAATAGACCCAAGATGTCACCTATTACACATATGAAACTTTCCTATATGCAGAGCTTGGGCTCAGAGATAGTAGCGAAAGCATGTATTTGCTTGTGAAATGCAATGTTAGAGATACATAAAGGGGTGAGGGTTCCTTTCAACCTGCACCACCAGGGAGAAAAGACATTATTTACTCTTCTGTAAGGCACCTTGAAATAAGGTCAGTACTTATACAGAGATACAACTCTAGCCAAGTTGCACATCTTACTGAGTTCAGGTTTTACCAACACAACTGAACCCTTAGTAAGGATCAAGTTAGGGGAGGAATTCCATTTCAAGAGGATGGGAGACAAGTCTTCCAGGACATGCCCATGAAGCATGGGGCAAGATTATAAAATGAAAGAAACTTGAAATGCACACACTCAAAAAGTATTGTCCTATTTAAAGTTAGGTCCAGCCTCCTTTTGATCTGAGTATGACTCAAGGTGGGATACACACCTTGCATTGGCTCGTCCTCTCCCTTCTGTAAGTAGAAATCAACCAGTTCCATAATCCTTGTAAGAAAGGACACTGCATATTTGTAAACTTCTGCCATCTAATAAGACAAGGCTTTTTTTCTCATTGGGGAAAGTGAAAGGACTAGCAGCAAAAGTGGGATACAGAGCAAGTGGGCTTTTCTGTTATACACTCAAAAAAAATCCTTGAGATTTCCAAGCATTGCACAGGAATGCTTGGTGCAACTGATTTGGGGGTACTCGCATATCATTAAGAGATCAGAGCTCTGATTGTGCCATATGTTACTTGCTAAATTGCTACTCATAGGCAATATGAATTCACTACCAAGTAGCACACACGCACACACACTTACACTTGTACAATTGCAACAAAAGAAGCGCCCCACACACATCTAAGCAGCATTAAGGAAAGGGGTTTGAACTACTTTCATAATTTGCTTACTTTAGCATTGTGCAATATGTAACTATTTTACTCCTGCGTTACACAAAGCACAACTATCTTAGCACCAAATATTTTCTATAGAGGTTGGCAAGATCAAGCCTTTAATACTGGAGAAAGAAGAATCCCGAACAAGAAATCACTTGTATTCTAGCAAACCATTATATTACACATGGGCAAATTTCACAAGGGATGCTTAAAAATGGTTGTTGCATTTCCTTGGCCGTCAAACTATTGTTATAAAAAAATACATTGGCAAAAATGTATATTATTATGATTAAGCTTGTTAGTCACTTGTTAATTACATAGAAGATCTTCAAAGAACTCGCAACATATTTTAGACATAGACGCAAGTAAAACACATTTACATAAAACATGCCATTTCATGAAAGATTCAGAAAGTAACACCCACCCCAATAGCAGCAGCAGAAAGCTTCAGCAGCACACTAACAGCAGACATAATCACCATCATAGTCCATGAAAAGAATAGTTCTAAACGGGCACCAAACAGAATGTCAATAAAGGTGCTAGATGGACCTTGCTAGCGATGACATTCCACAAACAGGAAGACACAACTGAGAAGGCCTTCCCCCTTCATCCTCCAACACTCCCTCAGAGAAAGCACACAGAGAAGGGCCTCCGATGATCTAAGGCTCTGTGTAGGCCTTTATGTGGAGAAGCATTCCAGAAAACATTGGGGTCCACTGCCGAGGTGTCTTCCTAGAACAGAGGTCACCAACCCAGTTTCTGTGGAGAGCATGTTGCCCATGAAGGTTTCTCCTGGGCAAGTGCCCTAGACTCTGAACTTGCATTAAAAAAAAAAAAAAAAGGAAGTGCCTAGCCCTTGTAGAATGGACAAAATAAAGTTATGAAGCAAAATGTGCCGGTACCTTCTAAGCAATTTATGTAAAATGAGAGTAGTGTGGCTACCTTGCATATTTTTCCTGGTATGGAGGAATGCTTCCTCTTGTTGTTAGATATAGCTCAGTTGGTAGAACAGGACACTCTTAATCTCAGGGTTGTGGGTTCAAGCTTCACGCTGGGCAAAAAGATTCCTGCATTGCAGGGTGTTGGACTAGATGACCCTCATGGTCCCTTGCAACTCTACAATTCTATGATAGTGTCAAGGGCGCTTCCCAGCCAAAGGAATGCAGATGGCAGATAGGTAAGTATTTATTGACAAAGATAATACTCACAGTCGCTTCTACAGTTCTGGATATTTACGCACACCAATCTAGCATCATAGGCAGCAATTCACAGATCCATGCTCTATGGAGCAGTTGCAGCAACAGGGGGCCACTCCCCCTGCACCAGTTTATGTACCTTCCCCCCAACGGGTTGCACGCATGCAGCCAGAGACTGTGTCTGCACAAAAAAACTCCCTTTTCAACCCCCTCCTGATTCTGGGAGGCAGTGGTGCAGGAGAGGGTGAGGAAGCTCTGGCCCTTCACTTGCCTGACCTGCCTCTTCCTCATCCCCTTCCAACCCATCCTGTGCTCCACCCTCCAGCTCTGAAGCTTCCCCTGCCTCTGATTCTTGCTTCCTGGCTGGTACAGGTCCCCAGAAATCACTGACCCCCACTCCTGAGTCAGACTCCAGCCCTCCATCCCCCAGAGCATGCTCATCAGCATCCCACCAGTCCCTGACAGAAAGCAACACCAATAGCATCAGTGCTTATGTGTGTGAACTCTATGATAAGGACCTAGTTGACTTCCTATAAAAGGCAGAAGCTTATTGGGGGTGGTTCTCTCTTCTTCTTCTTTTTCCATGTTATACGACATTTGCCTTTGCAGCCATTTTGTGTTATGCTATGCTCCCTCTGTGGCAGCCATCTTGTGACTAGCAACCCCAGCACTCACTCAAGATTCAAAATGTGCCCGCTAGTTGAAAAGGATTGGTGACCCCTGTTCTAGAAAGAACATTTTCCCAGCAATAGTGGTTTTCAAAAATGAATTAAATTTTCCATAGTACTTTAAGTATTTTAAAATAACAACATAGTTATTTGGGGTTACGAAATGTTTCTGTGCCAGATTTGATGCAGATTCTGCTCTTTCATTTCATCAACAAATGACACAGGCTTGTCACTTATGTCTGTCTTTAACTTTTTAATAACTTTTTAATAGTTTTATTGTGTGGTTTTATATTTCATTACTTTAAAACACTTCGATATTTTTTTTCTAAATGACATAGCAGTATACAATTATTTTTATATAAATAAAACAAATAATAACCCTGATTGTTTCCAACACTCACAAATCCCTTGGTCCAAAGCACTCTATATCTGACATTAACATTTGCAACTGATACACTACATCTGAAAGTGCATTCTTAGCAGCTGCTGTGGAACTACATCTGCTTAGATGTGAGCTATTTTGCCAAACACCTTTTTGTAAAGAAACGAAGGTGCTTTTTGAAGAAAAAGAAGCACTTTGCAAAGAGCCCCACTTAACAAAGCTCTTTAGCATTCCTTCCAAAAGGAATATAAAATTCAATGAATCAGTCATTCAGTTATTGTTAGTACTGAGGACACTGAAATAACAGCACCTCTATTAGTTGTCAGCATTTAAGGCTTTTAAAATAACACCTTCTTTTTAAACCTAATACTTATAGCAGAACACTGACTATATTTTAAAGAACCACCCTTTGCTGAATTTTGTCCTTCATGTGCATAGGCAAGCCTCAGCAAACCCATACTATACAGCTAAAGAATGCACAGCAGAATGGCTCAACAAGGTCACTGGAAGCACCGTTCTGGAACTTACCCGAATTTCTCTTCGACACCAGCTTCACATCAGCGCTGAATACACTGCAACTCACAAGGAACAAGAAGATGGACGGCTTCATCTTGGAGTCCCTTTGGCAGCTGAAATACAAACATGATATATAAGGTCCTTATCCAAGCACCACACATACTGAGTGTCCATGTGATCAGTTTTGCAGAGGGCAGCCTCATGCTTGAAGGGCTGTTTGGGTCCAAATCTGGTTGACATGTTTTTATTATTAAAAAAACAACAACAACAACAACAACTAAGAAAAGAGAGCAGACTTGGGTCTTTGAAGTTTCCTGTCTGCAGTTAGCAATTAGATGACCACTTGAGACAGCAGATCTTCTTGAAGCCTTACCCACTACAACAGGATACATTTTTATTTAAATTATATATATATATTTTAATGATATTTATTAAAGTTTCACAAAAATACAGAAAAAAAAAAGTTTACATTACAGCAAAAAAGTAGAAAGTAAGAAAAAACATACAAAATAAAACAGTTAAAAACACAATAATGTTCCATAACCTATCTTCCTTACTCTTATTTCCCCGGACCTCCTCATACCTCCCTTCTTTGTATTCCAGTTCCATTTGTTGGTTCAGCAAATCCTTACCATTAATCTTTTACCCAATTGTTAACCTTTTTTTTCCATGTCTCTTAAAGCATTACAGCTAAAAACCTCTTAGTTTCTATCCAACATCCTTCTAAAGTTCCTTAATTTTGCAATATTTCTGTAAATAGTCCTTAAATTTTTTCCAGTCTTCTTTCACCGATTCTTCTCCCTGGTCTCGGATTCTGCCGGTCATCATTTTTATTTAAATTATAAAGGTAAAGGGACCCCTGACCATTAGGTCCAGTCGTGACCATCTCTGGGGTTGCGGCGCTCATCTCGCTTTACTGGCTGAGGGAGCCGGCGTTTGTCCACAGACAGCTTCCAGGTCATGTGGCCAGCATGACTAAGCCGCTTCTGGCGAACCAGAGCAGCGCACGGAAACGCCGTTTACCTTCCCGCTGGAGCGGTACCTATTTATCTACTTGCACTTTGACGTGCTTTCGAACTGCTAGGTTGGCAGGAGCAGGGACCGAGCAACGGGAGCTCACCCCGTCGTGGGGATTCGAACCGCCGACCTTCTGATTGGCAAGTCCTAGGCTCTGTGGCTTAACCCACAGCACCACCCATGTCCCTTCATTTAAATTATAGTTACTCTTAAATTGACATCTATAGCTATTAGAATATGCAAATTGGTGCCTTTGTCCCCTTTCGGGTGATTATTTTTCTCTTTTGTAGCCACCCAAAGACACACACACACATACAAATATCTAGTCAATACATTTATTCCTCTCTTTTATTACTTAAATACACTTTTAAGAGTATGAGTATGAGACTCTTAATCTCAGAGTCATGGGTTTGAGCCCCAGGTTGATTCCTGCATTGCATTGGATGGGCATTGGACTAGATGATGTTTGTGGTCCCTTCCAATTCTATGATTAATATTTCAGGGATCTCTAAGTGGTGTAAAGTCCCCCCAAAAAATCACATTGAAACTAAAACTATTAAAATATTTGAATATGTCCACTAAAGCTTCCTCTCTGGTACAATGGCTGAAGCTAGTTATTTAAGCAGCCACGCTAACCCTACTCACTTGAGATAAACCCCAAGGAATTCAGCAGGACTTACTTCTGAGTAGGCATGGTTAGGATCGTACTGTTACAGGTCTGAATCTGTGCTCAAGTGAAAGATGGAGCGATCCCTCCCTCACTTTGCTTTTACATCAGTAGCCCTTCGGTAGTGACTCAGCCTATTCTCTTTTTTCCCCCCAGTCTTAAATTCAGTTCTCCACATTTCCATATTAATGTGCAATGGAAAAAAATCTTCATGAAAATACATCGGTACAGTAGTGCAAATTTCTCCTACTATACAAATGATTGTATGCAATTTTCCCTAATAAACACACATTTGCAAGCAGTTTTCTGCAATATAATGCATTTTTCTATGTTACTTTCACGAATATATGCATTTTTAAGCATGCATTCCCACAATAAATACGTTTCTAAAAACATTGTTTGGTTGGAGAACCTCACTGCAAAATTCAGAGAAGGGTGAATTCAGAAGGACAGCTGCCTTTTAGTTCACACATTGTTCCAGGAAGTGCAAATTAGAGGGTTTCACATTAAAATGTGAACTGGACCAAATTTCTCCCCTATCCCTTTGGCACATACAACTCTATCTTCCCACACTTCACTACTGCTCACTCACCACAGTGCTTTCCTGCCTTCCAGTTGTACATGCAATCAATATACAGTATTGCTTTTAGATCCCCTATTTTGCAAATCCTCTGGAAAAGGACATATTTGGATAGGGTCAGGACACCTTCAATATTTTACTCATGATTTTAACGCCTGCAGTTAGCCACTCTCTTGGGTTTGCTCATTTCGGTTTCTAAACTGCCTCTGCTTGTTAACAACACTAACACTGCAGCCTACAAAAATGAACAGCATAAATTGTATACCCATCATGTCTATAGAGTTAAAATTATCCCAACGCCTCCTTAATCATGTCTATGAGATCCTACCTCAAAACACGGTGCTTTGCACTTAGATGAGACAACTGAGAAGGAGTTTTACAGATGTAGGGGTAATCACCAAACACACCTCTTCTTAAAAAGAAAAAGGGGGGGGAATAGTTTTCTGAACAACAAGGGACAGAAATAGAACTGGCTTCAGGAAGCATCATTACTTACATTGCACTACTGACGCCCATGGTACTTTGCAATGCATGAGTGTACAACCTAAACTTCTCCACAGCAGAAACAGAGAAGAAATGAGAGAGACAAGTGAACAATGGAAGATTTGTTCCCAGAAATTTCAGCTTGGCCCAACCAGCGGCGGAGGAAGCCACTCGGGCACCTGGGGTGGCGCACCCAGGGATGGGGCGAGCCACCCATGGGGCAGGGCACACCTTGGGGCCTCCGGAGTCTGCCTGCCTCCTCCCACTCAGCCACCCTACAGATGGGGGGGAGGCAGTGGACGGACCATTTGGGCAGCGCGGAGCCTGCATGTGCCCAAGCCACTGCGTCTCTCCCAAGAGAGACACGTGGCTTGGGCATGCTGCAGGCCCCGCAGTGAGTGCTGCCCGGCATATTGTCACCCACCTCAGTGGTGACACCCGGGGTGGACTGCACCCACCGTACCCTCCACACCCCTCTTCCTCCGCCCCTGGGCCCAACTTGAGGATACCCACTTTTTAACACGATGAATAGTTCCTATAGTCCAGAAGAAGTCACCATCATGCAACTGACAGTGCAGACTCAGAAGCTAGTCACAGGCATCTGGTTCTGCATAACATTCAGTTGCCTAAGGCATTTGGATGCTTGAAGTGAATGACAAGAAGACACCTCTCACAATGCTACTTCAGCACTGGTGATGCGACAGAATCAGGCAATAGTCCACAGTCAATAGGGGACTCAGCAGATTACAACACAACCAAGGACCAAAACTAGGAATCAGGTGCAAGGAGTCAGAGACCTGGGTTTTTTCCTCCAGCAAGTGGATGACTCTAGAGGAAAGTCTTGTATAATCAGGCCTCCTATATCACAGTTGTTGGGAGTGAATGAGTTCCAGTGATCGCTTAGTCATAAATGGACCCATTATTCACAAGTACACCCTTTACTCCTGAGTAGCATCATGACTTTGGATACTTAGATATATGCTATGTTGATGTTCTTTAGTCAGGACCAGAATCTTTGTGCACCAGTATTCTCAGGGGCTGTGGGATGGCTTCAACTTCTCCTCTGAAGGCTGCAGAGGCTCTTCAGTTCCTCACAGTCTTCAACCTGTGGAGTATCTGACTCATCATTGAGGATGCCATGTCTGTAACCAGCTCAGGGTTGAGCATGACAGCCACCTTTCCAGGCACTGCCCAGACTTTCTTAAGCAAGGTGGAGGCCCTGTGTATCTTTAGACCAAGGGACCAGAGATGTGACTCCTCCCCATGCTGTTGAGCAAGGACTGTGAGCCCTCCAGATATTGTTGGACTCCAGAAGCCACCCCCAGCCAACATGGACCCAGGGATGATGGGATTTGGAGTCCAACAACATCTGGAACACCACAGGTTGTTCCCTGCTATAAGGCTAGAGGGGAAGGGCTGTAGTTCAGTAGTGGACCACTGGCTATGCATGCAGACGGTTCCAGGTCGAATACCAGGTATCTCCAGGTAAGGCTTAACTGAAATTCTGGAGAGCCACTACCAGTCAGTGCAGACCATGTGTGAGAAACTTTGGTCCTCCAGATGTTGCTGAACTACAACCACCCTGAGACCTCCAGGTATAGGGCGGTATATAAATTCAATAAATAATAAATAAATAAATCACCTATGGCCACTGGCTGTGCTTGCAAAGGCTGACAGGAGAATGGCCACAGGCACCAACTCCAGGGAGCCCTGGGGGCCCGGGCACCCACAAAATTTTGTTGTGGGTGTTCAGTACCTGCTCTGTGGGGCTTTGGATGTGACTTCCAGGTCCTGTCTGAGGCCTCAGGGGGCCTTGGACACGATGTCCAAGGGCCTTAAAATTGGCATCCTAGACCTCACAGGGCCTCTGACATCACTTCCAGGGGTGATGTCATGTTATGTTGACGACACTGGGCACCCATGATATGGGGCCCAAGTCGGCACCCCTGAGCATTGCCAATGGCCAGGGGTGATGGGAGTTGTTGTTCGTCAAGATCTGGAAGGCCATATATTTCCCACGCCTGGTGTGGACAATACTGAGCTTGATGGATGGGCCATTGGACTGACTTGGTCTAAAGCAGATTCCTCTGCCCCCTGGGCATCCCCCTGGACTCAAAGAATGAGGACATGGGTAACCACCTAGAAAGAATGCAGTATTCCCAGAAAAGAGGGGTCTCTGCTGCATTTTTCTTCCCACTCCCCATCAACATTTCAAATTGAAGCTTTATTATAAGACAACTTCCACTCCACCCCCCTCTTTCCCACCCTAAGCATCTTAGTACCAGCATACCACTCTGCAAAGCGAATGTAAAAGGCTGTGTATAATCACTTACATGATAGCGATTACTCTGCTTATTCAATTATTTCAAAATTACCATGTACA